TTAAGTTGCAGAAGCCCATAAAATACTTTTGAATTGAGCAAACATCATGTGTGTGTGTTTGTGTGTGTGTGTGTGTGTGTGTGTGTGTGTGTGTGAAGGGGACTACCAGACTTCTGTTGCAGTAGGAACTTCTTTAATGTACAAAAGAATGATTTCTCAATTTGACTTGATTTAATGATAACAAGTACAGTAAATGTATTTATTTCAAAATACTCCCTGGCCTTGCAGAAGTATTTTCTTATCTAGGGTCTATATGTAAGAGAGAAAAGTGGTTTAAGCAAGGAACATTAGATTTCAAATTAGAAATATAGTTTTTGCAGAGGATCCTAATAAATGTTAATCAGTTGTGCTGAGCTGTCCTAATGTATAATGTTTGCATTTTGTAATACTACTTGATTTCCTTTTTACCTGCATAAAATATTGTAATTAAAACAAATGAATGAAAAGACTATATAGTTAGAACCTCTGTAGCATAGGCAGACTATTTGGTTGGACATAACCAGTTGGACCTGAAGTACGCTTAAATGTTCAAGTTCTGCAGATCAATTTCAAGTTCAGAAATGAAACCCAAGATATCGAAAACTTCACCTCTTCTTTCATTTTCTTTTAGAATTGATAGAAGCAATACATTTATCAAGTATTAGAGAGGCTTCTGTCATGGGGAAATAGCCCCCCTTTTTGTGTGCTTAAGTGTGTTTATACTTGTGCATTAATTAATGCTTACACATTGGTACAATAATTTTAATGTCAAACGCGGATGTGATATAAAACCTGGCTTAGTGGACTCATGATTATGTTGTTCCATGGCCTGAAGCTTTATTTTCAGATTAAACAGAGAACCACTGGTTGAAGAAGGCTGATTTTTCTCAAACTATTTTACTTAAAATATGTACTATATTTCTTCAGAGAAGCTTATTTCTAACCCTTTGATTCAAAGTGAGATGCTTGAAAGTTGAGGGAGAAAAACCATGATCAAATGGTAAAGAAACGTTGAATAAAAGGCAAGAAAAAGACATTTCTTTAATGACTTCCCCCTTTGTTCATGTTCCTCTCTCCTTTCTTCTCTCCTTGTTCTGCATATTGAAGCTTCCTTTGCAAGGTACCCTAGATAGGAGGACTGGTTTAATTACCTACCTATCTAAATAAGGACTTTTGTAAACGTGTCCTTTATCTAAATGTGTTCCTTAATGGGTCTGAGCTGTATTTGAGGCAGAGCAATAAAATTGGCGTGTTTATATTGCAAGTTCAAGTTTACTTGCTTTAGCTTTTCGGAAGGGTGTGACATGAAAAGATTTGCGGTTGGGCCACATGGCTCTGGCTGGACTGTGTTTTTGTGAATGGAGGCAGAACTCCAGAACTGCCTGCTTGTCTTGAGGAATTGCTGAGAAGATCAGCTGTCTCATTCACGGGCAGAAAGAATGACTCATACATCTTCTGCCTTGTTTGGCTCCGGGTCATTGTTATGGTGGATAGAACTGGTTTTAATTAAATTTTAACCCCTTTTAATGTGACATTTATTTTATTTGCAATTTCTTTCATTTTTCCTTTGATTTAAAAGAAAACCTCACAGCATCGTAGTTTCTAAGAAAAAGTTGGCTTGCAAGCCAAACTTGTAAAGTATTTAAAAATGTAACCTTTTAAGTAATGACTATTTAATTTGAAAACTAAAAATAGGCCTAAAATAAAGCCAGGCTGTGTTTAAAAGTCACCCAGTCTCACTTCCCCCCAAAAATGCTAGTTAGTAAATGATAGGGAAATCAGAAAAATAAGATTCGAGAATTCTATTCATGATTAATATTTTTATGGATTTCTTTCCTAACATATGTAGTTTTAAAAAGGGGGTGGGAGGGGGAACGAAAAACAAACCCTTTGGATAATAATCTCCATAAAACAAATAGCTGAGAGTGCAGATACTGCCCTTTTAGAGCTGAGATCCAGAGCCTAGATGGCCGCTCGTCTATTAATGCGCAATGAACTGATAGAGCTGCTCCAGCTATTACCAATAAAACCCACATGCTTAATCTTCTTGAAAGCCTTTTATTGGTCTTTTGGTATATACTTTCCCCTTATCCTTCTTTTCCTCTTTGATTGCATCGTGTGAGGAAAACATTTTCATTTTTGAAGGTGATCTTTTCAAGCATAGTTTATAACACAGAAGTGAAAAAAAAGCTTTAGGGCTAACTTCTATGGTTAGTTTGCAACTTTGGAGTTAATGTGACTTGTCTCAAATTTTCAGGGTTGCTCTTAGTGGGAATCAGCTCAATGACAGTGAGTTTGGGGGCTTGGGCAATTTGCTCCTTCACAAAATGATTGTTCGCTGTTGAAAGAACAAGAAATGTGTGGTACAAGTGCAGCAATGCTCTCTCATATTTTCCTTGCCTAGATCCAACTTGTGTTTGTAGTTAACTGCTTTCCTTTTTGTCTAGCTTGAAATTAGAGGTAGACTTAAGCCTTTGTCTATTTAAGTACAATGCTGCTTCATTTGGTCTATTCCGTTCCTTAAGATCAGCTTCTGTGAAAATGTGCATCATGTTTTTTTGTTAAATATCTATAATATGTGCAGACAAACGTGTGAAGTACTTATTCGGTATGTTAAGGATTTGGAACAGAAATAGCAATTCATTTTCTTACTCTTTTTACAAATTGTGTGTGCAGCTATTTCTTGTATATTTGTTAAGTATAACTTCTAATCAAAGTCCGTCTTCTAAAGTTTGCCGCCCCACCCCCAGCCCCCGCCCTTCCCCCAAATGCACATACACATCCATCAATCATTGCTATGCCTTTCCAGCAGTGGTACACCAGGGGCCTCGAAAGTTTGTGGAAAAATTGCACGATTTTTTCATTCTATCTTTACACAAACTCTTCGAGGCTCCTTTTATATATCATGTAATTGCAACTTTGTCCTGTGATACAGTAAGAAAAAAGATCTGGCCTTTTGGACATTCATAGCAGTAGATTCAGTTACAAATATACTTTTGTTACTCACCAGCTATTTTTAACTATTCCCATAAAGGATATTACAATTTAATTGATTCTTGTAAATGTTAGTTTTTATAAAGCATAATAATTGCTTTGGCTGATAATTTTGCATCTCAATACTTATATCTATTTAGCTTTAAATTTAGTGGAGAATCAAAACATGTAGGTATGATGGGAGAAACACAATGTGCAGTACTCAATTCTGCCTATCCATTGCCACACACACACACATACACACACACACACACACTTCATTTATTTATCAATTTAAGTAAAACAAAATACAATGTCAAAAATATGCTAATTTGTAGGACAATGCTATGTATGGGTTTAGCTATTATATTTCGTTCTTTCTATATCATTCATTAGAAGTTAGACACTAATTATGCATTACAATGATTGCAGTTGGGTAGTTTTAGTTTAAAAATGATGGTGGTGAGCTGGAAAGAAGAAGCTTTGTAAAAGTTACTGAGCACTGCCATTGTATCTGGCATTGTGTTTATCCTATTTTATTCCATTCTCACATTGTCATTATTCAACTTCTGAGTGAAATTCAGTTCAGTGAAGCAAAGTTACGTAACATATCCAAAAAACATAAGCGCCCGGTTAGTGGTAGAACTATGATTTCACGTTGGCTTGATTAATACGTTTTTTATCCACAGTATCAAACACTAGTGGATTATGATGAGGGAAAATGTATGTAACCTTATAGCCTAGTCTCATCAAATAGGCATGAGTTATAACTCGAGGCAGTATTCAGTTGTTTACCTTTATTGCGTGGCAGGGAGCATAGTGTGTCTTTAGTATGCTGCAGTATTGATGTGTAGGAAAAAGTTGTTAGGGCACAGTTGGATGTCAAACTACATATAATAGGCCATCTAGTGTGGTATCATTGGACACTTATATGCTACTGATAATATAACATACATTTTATATAGCCACTGATTGTCAAAATACTATTAGATAAGAACAACCACAAACAAATGACAATTCTGCATGTAGAATTGTACAATTCAGTACATTTCAGTACTGTACTACAATTCAGTAACAGAATGACTTTTTATATGGATTTTTTTCTTGTACAGTTCAGTAACCGAATAACTTTTTATATAGATTTTTTTTCTTAGCCTAGTCAGTTGCTTATCTGAAATTTTTTCAAGACACTATTTATTTTAAAAAGAATTTCCACTTACTGGTTGAATAGAGACTAGTGGGAAGCAATCCCCACCCCCAGCAATACAAAACAAATACCACCCCATAAAACAAGTCCTTTAATCAGCCTTCAGGCCTTGGACCCTTGGCTCATTTTCAGGCAAACAATAGACAGGTCTGTAAGGTGAATGCTAACACTAGGGAGGTACAAACTCATTAGAACAATCAACCATTGAGACCCACAGGCAGCATTTCCCCAAGGACTAAGTCCAGAGACTTAGGAAAGAAGAAGTAATGGAAACAGGAGACACAGGGAAGACGTACTGAGGGGATTACAATGGACGAGTTGGGAAAAAAATGTGTATTAAATGTTGACTATAAAACTGATTTTCTGCTCTGTAAACCTTCAGCAAATTCACAATAAAAAGTTGAAAAAGAGAAAGAATTTCTATACAAAAGAGATCACACCCCTGCTTCTCCCCCCCATTGACATCTGTTTTAATGTGACTTGCTTGTGTCCCCCCCAAAAAAGTACAATATAATACTAGTAAGTTATTACTAAATCAGAACATAGGTGAAGGATGATAACTAATATTTTTACATAATAAAAGTAAGCTAATATTGATTTTATATAGTTTTGTGTACTTACCAGTAAGTATTCAGGGGAACACTGCTTTCAGTAATATTCGGTCAGTTGGGAATAGATTATTGTGATGTCTAAGTTGGGAATAGATTATTGTGATGTCTAAGTCGACTGTGATGAAAATATTATGTATGTAAAATAGCCAGCTTTTGTTTTAATTGCTGCCAAATGCAGGTAAGTCCTGCTTTTCAGGGTTTTTTTTCTTTGCTATAAGTAGGGAAGTTGTTTGACATTAGCACTGATGAAGCAATTATATTCTTTTTGTTAGTGCTGAGAAGTCACAGGAAAATATTTTGAATAATAAAGTGGAATGCATTATTTAATGTTTTTATTGTATATGGTCATCATCACTGAAGACTGTTATTTAATCTTAAACATTTTGCAGCATATCTCCATCTAACATAAGGAAACCCTTGTTACAGAACAGTAGTCCAACTTGTGGTAGACTGAACATACCCAAAGCAGTTATTTCTAAATCAGCAGAGGGGGGCTGATGAACACGGTATGGCATTTAAAAGACTTGTATACGTAATTTAGCTGAGCTTCTTAAACACTGGAAGTTGGTCATTTGAAATACCCTTTGTATTCCATCCTTAATAAAAGATCCTGGAGTTAACAGAAAACCTCAAGCTTTTTATTTTTATTTTTTATTTTGTGTTTTTCTTCTATTTCCACCTGGCAAGATGCAATACAATTGCCACCGTTCCATTGTGAACCCAAAACCACACACTTGTACATTTCCTAGTTGGCTCTCGTTGGCATCCCTGATTCTTATTTCTTCTCCCAAGTATTGCTGAATTACCCGTTTTGAAACAGGAAGTCATTGGCAAACAATCATCATAGGTTTGCTCTCAACCCACAAAGATCTTTCTTGAGATTCCTTATTCCTGGACAGTTTCTTTCTTAATATATGTTTTTCTCTTTCTGCAGCTCAGGTACCTGACAATGATGAGCAGTTTGTGCCAGATTATCAGGCTGAAAGTTGTAAGTATAGTCTGACTCCTCTCTTGTAGTTCTCTTTTTCCTTCTTTTTATCTCTTTGGTTGCTTTCACCTCTCGGGGCTGTGTTTGCATCTTGCCAGTGCCTTTTAGCCTACAGTCCTGGATGATTTTATTTGGCTGGGCGTGGCATCAACCGAACACGCGTATGGTCTAGGCCAAGTTCTAAATAGTAGCCAAAGAAAACCGATCTGAGAAATGGCCCTGTGCTCTATACGTATTGGGTAAATCTCTCTGGACAGCAAGCAGAGGGTAGACATGAGTGCAGGATTGCTTCTTCCCAGTTTTCCATTATGTTCACGAGGAAAAGTCTGGATGCTGATGGGAGAAATGGTGGTGTCCTGCTTTGCCGTCAGTAATTAAAACCCATAAGACATTATGTATTGTATAAGTTATAAACAATCTTGGAACAAACAATGGGTAGTTCACTGTACTCGTTTACATTGAGGCATGAACTATCAACTGCTGTGGTTTAGTTTTTAGCTTCAAATTCTCTGTCTCCCGGTTGGTCACATCGTTATTCTTGCGGTCACAGGATTCTTGTGGAGTGGTTCCCCTGCACTGAACTCCAGAGTGAGCATTTTGTCTGGGCAGACATGGTTGCTTCAAGATTCCTTCTGATATTTATGCTTTGCTATTCCACCAACTAACTGCAACTCTTGACATGAGTTGCAAATAGTACAGAAAAGTGTATAGCTGTCACAACTGTGAAGCTGGCTTAATATATGTTTGTTCACTTAGCAACATTTAAAACCTCATACCTGGTATGTTTTCTAAGACTACAGACAGTTCACAGGAGCCAACAAGAAAGAGGTGCCTAATATATTAACATGCTACCATCAAGAGGTACACTTAAGGGTTTGAACTGCTGACTTTATGGTTATGAGTGAACACTCCACCACCAGGGTTCCTGCTAATTGAACTTAACAAACCCAAGTTTTCACCCTTTAGCATCATAAATATTCTACAAATTTCATTACTTTGAATACCAGATATTTGAGAGCAATTCTCTCTTCTTCTGCGTCTGGTGTCTATAGTGTCTCGGGTTTCCAGGGGAGTGTGGTTTCTTCCATATTCTCTCCCTTTAGACATGTTTAGTTCAGCTTGATTTTTTTTAATTTTTTATTTGAGAAGCGAATTTTGCATGCTATTTGATGTTGGGCTGCAGTTGTCACATGCTCTTGAGTCATCTCTTTAGCATCGATCTCTCCCTTAATGAGAGATTTTTAGAATATTATTCAGAAGGCACGTGACTGTGCGTGGCCTATGCATGTTGATTAAAGAATGGGAAGAGACTGGTCACATTTCCAGCACTGTCCTTCCTGTGAAGTATGTTGTGCCCATTCTAAAGCCTCAACCTGTCATTTAAGTGGGAGAGTTAGTCTTAACAAGGTCATTGCACATCTATAGAAATTAATTTCAGATCATTTTCCCCTGTATTCACTGTTAACACCTTATTTTCCCCCAACCTCATCTGCCATGCCCTTAGGTGACTATTAATCCATTTACTGTCCCTATCGATTTAGTTATTATGGATTCCATATACAGAGCATCATTTAAAATACTAACAGGAAGCAAACAAACAAAAAAAACCCAAAAAGAACCAACAACAAGGACAAAATAAAGTCGAGAAAAATCTTGATTGAAAAGAAAGCAGAATATAGTAAGAACAGAAACAACTTTAAAATGGGTCAAAATGGAGATCAAATGATAAGGTGTTACATTTTAACCTAACTACATCCACCACAGTCATCTTTACCATCCTCTCTGTTTGACAACAAAGCTATTCACAGCCCTGCACTATATCCAGAGGGAATTCACTGGAAACGTCATCCATCCAGGGACGGAATTTGGATTTACACTGTCATCCATAACCTTGTGCAAACTAGGTGTTCAGAATTTAAGCACTGATACTGTTCCGTCCTTTGAATTTTGATTTTATTATATGTAATCTTTGGATCACAGAGGATTGTGTGCTTCTTCTATGTGGAATTAGTTGACACCTCCCTTAGCTAACTGTTTGTTTAAAGACAAGCCTTAAGACTCCAAATGTAATTCTTTCTGATAACCATGTGGTTTCTTTACTGCACTTTTCTATAGCCCCCAAATCTTCGGCGATTTCTTCCTGAGACTATCGAGCAGAACCATGTCATAAGAATGGATTGTTTTTAGATTGGGCCTAGAATCAAGTGTGTTTACCTTATGTTTTTCTTGACTATTTTTTCTTGAAGTTTCTCTTCTCTTGACCACAGTGATTGCTATCCCCACCCCCATCCCCAAATGCAGACAATTTATTGCTTTGATTTTTCCTTCCCATTTTACCAGTCTTCTTCCCATTCTCTGCGCACACCTTTTTTTACCTGGGTTCTGCCTAGGGGCAGACAACCCAATATGCAAGGTCAGCATGAGTTTACTTGTGCTCACTCACTAATCTGTACTGAGCATTTCACACATGGATTTCCCATGAAGATGTTCACTACAGATAAGTAAGTCAGCACAAAGAGGCTTGTGCTTACCTTCCCTAATGGGCACTCCATTCCTGGCAGGGATTGTAAATATGAAAAGAGGCTGCGCTTCTGCAGGAAGATGCTATGGGGTTGGAAGAGAGATAGAGGCCACCTATGCCTAGAAGTAGAATTTTTGAAAATATTGTGAAAATATTCACAACAGATTAGCAAGTAAGCACACGGACGCCCGAGTTTCTTTGTTTGGGGTGACCCTACACTTTTTTCTACCCCCTAAAATGTACCTCATAACTTATGTGCTCTATACTAGTGAGTTTTTTATGATTATGTACATGATTTATAACTGTGCTTTCTGACAGAGTAAGCACCAACCACATTGGCTTGGCACATTTCAAATGTGACTGGTGGAACTCAAGGGGTTTTAGCCCTATGTTGCTCTTTCCAATTTGGCCTTTCCTCGGCTACTGCCTTTTGTAAATCTTCACAAACCCCACCTCTAGGATGTGTGTGAAAATTAGAAAAAAAAACCTTATATCTGAACTCACCCCTGGGCTGTCAGCTATGCGTCATACGAAACAGGATTTATGTAATTATCCGGAACTTCAGTATGGTGTGCCACCGACAGTACATGTTCGCCAAGTCCAATATCTAAATGGCTGGTTTTTACGACTAATATTTCTCTTTTCTTCCTGTTGCCTGGCTAAATTAATGACATCATCACACAAGCCTTAAACCTGAGATTTAGTCTTTTTAAAAAACAATTTAGCAATCTTATTGACATAATTCACATATCATAAAGTTCAATAGTTTAACCATATTAAAAAGAGTTGTGCAATCATCACTACAATCACTTTTAGAACATTTTCTTCTTCGTTGTACTCATTATCATTAGCTCTCCATCCCCACCGCAACCTCATCTTCCATAATCTAAAAAAGAAATTAATCCAGTTACTGTCGCTATAAATTTTTCTAATCTGAGTTTCACAAAGGGAAAGACCTAAAAACAATAAACAAAGAACAACAACTCCATGACAGTAGTAAAATAAACACAGAAAAGATAACAGGAAAGAGCAAACATGAGAACAGATTTAAAATGGGTCACAACGAGAACAAATGGTAAGTGAGGTGTTAAATTTGAACCGACATCTGCATTAGTCTGCTTTTCAATGCATTCTGTCAGAGAGCAAGGGATGCTTAAGGTTTACTTGTTGGTCACATTCAGTTCTTTACCATGTAGTTCCAGTTGCTTACCGCATGGTTCCTTCCCCCAACACACATCTTATTTTCATGGCCTGTGCTCTGTTTGTGTTCTTCCTACATTGTCCACCAATTGAAGTTGGGATCGGTAGTCTTGCTTTCGGGATTCCCTTCTTTTTTCCACCTCTACAATGGTGATAGGCACTAACACAAAACTAGCACGCTCTTTTCTCCTGAGGTTTCCTTTGGATAAAGTTGCCGTTATTTAAAGGAAAGGTTCCGTAAGCTGGGCCTTGCCTGTCTTTGCAGCACCAACTCCTGTCAGGCCAGCACCTTTCTGGGCTGCGGACAGACTCCATTATTGCAGTTCTCCACATCGATGGAGCTGTTTTCAAACTCGTTGGCTTTCTCGTTCATTTCAGTTTACTTTTACATCCGTGTTGAATCCTCGTGAACGTCTTCGTGCCTCCTCAGTCATTAAAGTCCTTCTTGAACTTTTCTTGTCACCGCTACCCTGAAGGGTTAGTTGTTGGATTCTCTGTACCTGTGGATCTTTCTGTACTTATTATAATATCTGAGGTATGTGCCTTCCTTCCACAAGACTGAAATTCCTATTCACTGGCCATGTCATTTCCAGCATAACTTGCATGTAAAATTATCATCATAATCATGATCAGCTTCTTAATGGTTATTAATTTCTAAGTTTGCTTACTGTCCTAATTCCATTCTTATAACTGAAACATGCTTCATTCTTGTGGGGGGTTGGGGGTAAGGACCATGTTAAAACTATGAAAACTTCATCAAACATTTCAGAATGATATATTTTCATTTCACTAAAATTAGTGGAAAATCAGGAGTCCCTGGGGTCCACTTGACTGCTATGCCACATGCTGTCAGTTCTAACTCATCCAGAGCCCCCTCCGGCTACAGGCCTGGTGATCTGCTTTTGAAAGGTCACACACCCTGTGGACCAGTGCTGCTCAGCACACTTGAAGACTTAGAATCTTTGCAGCAGCAAGCAAGCAAGTCACAGGATGAAAAGTCACAAATACGATGCTGACCCGTTTGAAAAAAACATGCTATTTCTAAAGAGAACATATAAGTAAAGCTAACAATAAATCTGAAAGAATATTTTAAAACATGGAGAGTTACTTTATTTCACATTTTCTAAGACATAATGGACTATTGTTCAGATGATGGTGTCCAGCTAATTTGAGTATCCACTGAAGAAACAAGAAGAAAAATGAATTTGAAAGGAATAGAGGGTTAGGATTATCTTATAAACAAGGATTTCTCCATAGACAGGTTATCAAATACTGGAAC